AAAAAACCTACAAAAATTCTAACTTGCTCACGTAAACACTATTCACACAAGATATCTATATACGCTTTTGCCGTATTTTTTTCTCTGTTAGAAATCAAGTAAAAGGAAATTTTCGTGCGTTTGCCAAAGTGTTGCTGTGCCGTTCCCACATAAGTAATTGTATACTACAAATCTATAGAAGTACAAACGTAAATTTTCAGCTCTCTACAAGCTTTAGTTCTCGAGAAATTTGGATTTTAGCTTGGACCACATGACTAGCGAAAACTGTATTCGATATTTTTCGAGAACTAAAGCTTGTAGAGAGCTGGAAATTCACGTTTATACTTCTACAGGTTTGTAGTATACAACTGGGTATGTGGGAACGGCACAGCATCACTTTGACAAACGCACGAAAATTTCCGTTTTCTTGATTTCTAACACAGAAAAAAATACGGCAGAGGCGTATATAGATATCTTATGTGAATAGTGTTTACGTGAGCAAGTTAGAATTTTTGAAGGTTTTTTATGAACTGATACGATTTTTCTTAATTTTTTGGACAGTTGAATCTTTTTAGTTTTTGGCTCGAAACTCGTGGTAGATCAGAGTTGTTGCTAAAGCAAGATAGCCTTCTTGTAGAGCTTGCTTTGCTCTATCGAATGGTACTTTGCAATCTAGTTAGAAATGAGAAGTGTATGACTTATTGCGGTTGGATTCAAAACCTGCATTAATTTTGTTACAACCTAATATGCCCGACTTATTCTGGGGAGAGAACAGTACTCCAGGGTAATATAGCGGAACGAGATAGACAGGCCTGACAAGCTAATCCCGAAGTAACGAAAGGGCGAACCGGACTGCGATCAATGGGTGGGAAAAGTAAAGATCGAAATAGCGAATGATTATCAATGGAAAAGGGTACATGGTTCCAAGTTTGGGCTAGCGAGCTGTACTTAGCTAAAAAAGATATAGTGGACTCAAACTAACATAATGGTAAGATGAGAGCTGCTAAAAATAAAAATCTTTCAAGACCACTAGTGTATTAAAGCACGACTTTCGATCTTCTTTATTCAGTGCATAGATAGGGCTCAGACGATAGATCGTTGCACGTGGCTAAAGTCAGGACCATGTGAATGCTGGATTAGCGCTATCTGTAAAGATTTCATTCAGATTCAGCTGTTTTAATTTGCGTTTAAAAGATTTGCTGTTATTACATGCTAAAAGTTCTTTCGGCAAGAATTGCATCAGTTTCGTCACACGATAGAAGAAGTCGTAATTCAATAAACTTGATTTCTTACGCCTACCAATTTGTTGGTTATAAATAGAGAAACAACCCGTTCTTCCATAGGTAGGTTTGAAAACCCAGTACTTGAAAGGCCGCAGTTTGGTCTCACCCTTAAAAATCCTGAAAACTAATACTGGGTCATGAACAAGCCTACGGTAAGAGAGACTTTTGAGGGCAAGTCTTCGTAATCGTTCCTCATGGTTAGGCATTGATAGAGGATAAGTTGGGTTGGGAAAACAGCGACAGAATAAGAGGCGCGTGAAGACCTTCTGAACGTTCTCCAAGGTTTGTTTGTGCTTCACCAAGAAGGGACTCCATACTTGGTTTGCATACTCCACTATAGGTACAACAAAAGTTTTGTAGAGTTTCAACAGTACTCTGGGGTCATCAACTGTGGTGTTGCGATAAATGAGGTAAACTACAGAGATTGCACGAGAGGCTACGCTAGAGATTTGTGAGTCAGGTTTCAAAGATTGATCAAAAAGTACTCCCAAATCTTTGACTGATGTTTTCTTGGTCAGGGTTTCTCCAGCATGTTCATAATGGAATTCATTATCCCTGCCATTGCCGATGTGAAAAACAGAACTTTTACTCACGTTCACAGAGATATCCCAGCCTTTGCACCAATCAACCATAAGATTGATGGCGCGCTGAAGTGCAATTTGAACATCTCGGCGATTATCATCGTTATAGATGGCATAGATTTTGATATCATCAGCGTACATTAGTACATGGATATCTGGGTGGGTTTTCAATATCACGGGTAGGTCGGCAGTGTAGATATTGAATAAAAGAGGTGACAGAGCTCCACTCTGAGGCAGCCCACTAACGCATGGAAAACGTTCAGAGTGTTCTTTGCCAATGCGAACGGTCATATATCTGTCATTGAGATAAGATCTGAACCATTCAAGTAGGTTTCCTCTAATGCCATAATGATCTAGCTTATACAGCAACTTCTCATGACTTATACGGTCAAATGCTTTGGACAAATCGAAATAGATAACATCAATTTTCTTATTGTCGAGAACAGCTCTGATCCAGTCGTGGGTACAATCCACTAGTTGTGTTACTGTGGATGCACCGCTAACAAAGCCGTGCTGTTCAGTGGGTATGAGCTTGAATTTTTCAAGAAATTCAAGGAGTTTATCACGCAAAATTTTTTCAAGAACTTTGCATGCCACCGAATTAATACTTATGGGTCTAAATTCAGTTACGAACCGCGGTTTGGGTACCTTTGGAACAGGAGTAACGATGGCTTCCTTCCAAATGTTAGGTACTTGCCCGCAGATGAAACAAATATTATACATATGAGAAAGAGGAACTGAGAGTTCTTTCGCACATTTTTTGAACAGAATTTGAGGGGGTCCGTCAAAAGGTTCAAATGTTGACTGTTTCAAGGTCCTTAAAAAACATTCAACCTTATAAGGCACGATGATAGGAGGTGTACATGCATGGCTCAGAGGCGCTTCAAGAGATCTAGAATCAGAAGTGTTTGTAGAGAAAGTGTTTGCAAAAAATTCGGCCAGAGCCTTTGCTTTATCTCGGTCAGTAAGGCATGTTATACCTGACATACTCGTTAAGGCGCCATGGTTTTTGATAGATATTTTTTGATGGATATACGAAAAGAGATTTCTGGAATGTTTAGAGGAAGCCAGGCGTTTCTCATAGTTTGCAAGAAATTTCTTGATATGATATGTTACGTCTGAGCAAACCTTTTTGTAAAGCGGACTATTATATCGAAGTTCTCTGAAAAGCCTTTCTTTTTGGAAAATGAGCGACTGTATATGGCCAGGGTACTTGAGATATCCGACCTTACGGAACTCGAAGGGAGTGTGAGCTGCCATTAGTCTGTACATAATGCAACAGAATCTATAGTACACATCAGAATGATCTTCATATTGATCGAAGCAGTTTTCCCAATCTATGAGTTGTAGTTCTGCTTTGATTGCATCAAAATCAGTTCTAGAGAAACGAGGAGTTGGGATAGGGATGCATTTTGGGATACTAAATTTGTAACGGAATTCTACTATGTTATGGTCAGCTGTTCCAAAAGGTGCTTTCACCAATACTTTGTCAATAGAATCAGCATGTGCTAAGACTAGATCAAGAATGGCATCTTCACGTGTTGGCTTACCCACGAATTGGTGTAGGTTTAGATTATGGAAGAATTCTAGAAATTTGTGGGCTAGGGGATAATTTTGGTGTTGCAAGTTGATCGGGTATCTTATAGGAAGGTTGAAATCACCAACTATCAGAACCTCATTTGTAGCGAGAGCGTAGGCGGAAAGGAGATCCAAGAGTACATCATCAGATTCATGGTCAGTGCTAGGAGGTCGATAGACACATATCATGCGTAATTTAACAAGTGTTCGGGACTGGTAGAGGTCAATTGCTATTACTTCATAGTTGCAGTGAGGGTTTATTTCAATTTTTTCGCACAGAAGTTTTGAGTTAACTAGGATGCAAACTCCGCCGCCTCTTTTACGCAGTCTACCACAACGAAAGATAATATATGGCAAATCAGACACAATTTCGGCATCGGTCACTTTAGATGATAACCATGTTTTGGTAATGAAAAGAATATCAGGACGTTTGGTAGTAAGGAAATGATGTAACTGGGATAATTTATTCTGCAATGATCTCGAGTTGAACAAAACGCATTTAAGAGTATCGCCTTGCCCGAGACTCAGTTTCCCTGGAATGCCGAACCTGGTTGACGACGAGTTTTTGATGGATTTTGAGAGGAGGATGTAGTGGTGTGTGAGAGGGAGCTAGCCAAAACTAGCTCAGCTTTATAAACCACATATCTGTCTTCGTAACTCCTGGACTGGTCCAATTTTTTCGCCTGCTCTCGCAAATTGCGATCGTGATCCCTCTCCTGGGCCGTCATACTCCGTCTAATATAAATCCCTTTGAAATTTGGGGAATCGCGGAGTAATCGGGCTCGAGAAAGGGCCGAGCTCCAATGGCTTCTCGTAGGTAATGCAACCTTCATAAGGCGTGGCCTATCAGTCGCCCGCTTAGCCATTCGAAAAATCTTTACAGGTTTGCACTCTATATCTAAAGCATCCAAAATTCCACGAACCTTTTGTTCCGTGTCATTTTGGCGTTCAGATGCTGGGGAAGAAGCCTGGCTGCTCCCACCGTCAAGTTCGGGTAAGCCCGCAATAACTATGCTCCTCTGGCGGGCATCTCTCTCTATCGCTCCATCTCCTAGCTCACTCAAATGAAGCAAGATCTCGTTGGTGATCTCGGTGACCTCTGGAATGTTGAGGTCCAACAGCTTTTTGAAAAGCTGAAGAACCGGCGTTGCACCAGGATCACTTTTAGAGCTGCTCTGAGAGAGTGAGCTAGCAAGCTGCGATGTGATAGGGTCACTAAGGCGTTGACTCAGAGGAGCCACTTGCTCAGAACTTCCATTTTTGCGTGGTAGTATTGGTCTTGTAGTCTTGGGAGGCATTGTTAAGAGATGGAACGAATGTGAGGAGATGCCAGGCAGCAGAGCCGATTGCGAAATCGAGCAAGGTACGGCGGAAAACAGAGGTGGAATTGGAAAATCCAAAAGCGACTCGGCAACTTGGATCGCAAGGCTACCACTAAACACTAGTAGGGATCGTAATGAGTGAGAAATGTGAAAAAGTTGGAAAAGAATGGTAATTTCAATAAGAAACTCACGGATGTCGAAAGAGGAGCCGAAAACCGACCGCTCACGGCGAGCACACATGCTAGAGTGAAATCACTATGCGTAGCTCATTTACGAAAACACGACTGCGTGGCAAGGTATCAAAGATCACTGCTGGCGACAGACATCCACGATGATTCACATGAGGGTGCTTGCGCTTTATAGAGAGTATGATGACTAGCTGGCATACCCGGCTCCGCTCGGCCCTGTCAAAACACTATGTCAAAAATCACTATCCCTATTCCTGTACAAAGCTTTTCCTGTGCCCACTTCTACTTGCTAATTCCCTATCGCCTTTTGTTTTCGTAAACAGCATGCCTCCTCAATTACCCCTGTGACTGCCGGCCTCGAAGATCAACTTGCAGATGCAATTTTTCCGAAAACTAATATTGTATTCGTAATCAGTATGCTCACTTATACCCCTGTGCCAATTCTCAGCCCCGTAGGTACCAATTTAGTGTCATTGAAGGTTTGGTTGATCCACGGTTGGCATCGAACTTTGACCCGATTGGTCACGGCTGCGCCTCACTCCACAAAGCCATTCGCCGTCAGTGGTTGTATCATTCTCCATGCTTTGTAAAAGCTCAACAAACTCTCTGCCAGAAGAGTTTCATCATTTTTCAAGTTCATTCCTTCTTTAAACTCATTTACATACTAACAAGGAAAGGATACTCGGTCACCGTGGCTATATGGAATGCGATATATACTTTAAGATGCACCTCAAAATGCTGATTCCAAATCTATGCTCGATATCTGCGAAACGATCTTCTGAAGGAAGTTGTGATTTTATTTCGTAAAAAATTTGCGTACTTTTGTGTAGTTAAAATCACCAAACCTGTTCTAAGTCACCATTTGAAGCTTGAAGAGAATCTTAAAGGCAGCGTCCAGGCAAGTCCGGACACATGAGGATCTCATGTGGATAGTTTTGAGGCCCTAACTAAGCCACTGCCCAACCGGCAGCTCAGGTAGTGCTCTAACGGCTGAGATGTTCCCCTCGAAACTGGACCCCGCGATCGTATTTCGCATGGATTCATGGCGCAAAGCGTGTGTTCTGGCGCGAAACTGCCGTGAATCCATGAGAATACGATCGCGGGGTCCAGTTTCAAGGGGAAATTTCAGCCGTTAGAGCACTATCTGCGCTGCCTCTTGAGTAGTGCCTTAGTTAGGGCCCCAAAAGTACTTTCCACGTAAAATCCCCATAAGTCCAGACCTGCCTGGACGCTGCCTTCAAAAGGAACACTGTGCATTATACTATTCTAAATCATATTCAGCATTTGAAAGGGAAAGGAAATTTGTATAGACAATTTTGACACTCCGCAGTAACGAAGTTTGTTCTTGCTCCATTTAGATTATCGTTTCGCAGATATGGAAGACAGTAGTCGAACCAGCATTAAAAGGCTTTTTTTGATATACAAATCATTATGAATGGCCGCGGTGACCAAGTTTCCTTCCCTTGTAAGAAATGCAGTGCGGGAGCATTGATGTGATTATGCATGAATATGTTATATATTGCTGTGATATACATTATTGCATATCACAGCATGTAATAATGCACGCTGTGATATGCAAATTCAATAATAAATCGTCCTCCAAAGCACCATAACTTTTCAAAGGCAAGCAAAATGCAATACGCTATTCCGTTTCCAAACTTACTTCAAAGAATATTTCTCAACTCGACCTATAGGCCGAAGCTTGATCTTAAGATCAGATTCTTCAGCTGCTGGTCTCATGATGCGTGCATCATCTTTGAAGCTCATGTCCTTTTGCCTTTAAATTGGATATCATGCTCTTCACATATTTTTCGGCATCCTTTTTCGGTGCTCATTTTGAAGTCGCTAATTAATCCAGTACCATACATAGAGCAATGGGCACACCACTTACCTCTAGGCAAGACGCATCTCTAAATATTGCTGTAAATATTCCTAAACAGCCGCCCCATTGCCCTGCTGTTACGTAGGCATTAAACTTTTCCTTGTTATTAGAACCGCTAAATAAAACCTTTTCTTTTTACCTTGTTCAGCGGGTCGAATGTGTAAACATTGGTCTCACTGTCAGTAAGTGGAGAATTCGCGACAAAAAATAATAGCAGCCATAGAATTCTGCTTGCGAATAAAAGCCAGGCTCCTGCCACTACTGAAAAGTCTCAATCGCTCACGAGTAACTATTAGAAGGAAGTTAAGAATCTGGTTGACTTTCCGCACCGCCTCAACTCAGAAGATATCTATGCATAAGGTTTTATGCTGTTCTCTTATTAAACAAAGCCGTCTCACTTGTTGATTTCTTCTTCCACGCTCTTCGAATTCTAGACTTGAAATTATTAATTTAAAATTAGAAATTGAAAACAGTGGCAAGAGAAATCTTGCTGGTTTTTTCGTTGATGGATTTATCTATAAGTTGACACAACAAAATACGCTCAGAAAACATACACTACTTCTGAATCTTTTCATATTTCTCATCAAAAATCAAGTTGCAGCGCATCATAGAAGAGGTATCGTTGATTCGTTGACCGCACGGACTGCTCAAACGCTGCAGACCGCGTGCGGCGCGGCTGAATTGTCGCGAACATGACGTGTACAATAGCGAATTTGTACTGGGGCGAGCGTTTTACCTCGCGGCGCGTGCTCTGCAATGATGTCCAGTTCGTGCGGTTGACGAATCAACTATAAATATAGCGAGATGCAATCAAACAGCACGATTACTGTAGTCAAGATACTTTTTCAAAAAAATGACAATATCCCGAACTCCTTAAAAGCTGGTCACGCGTAATGGTGCAATCGCTCTTCTAAAAAAACTAGTCAGTAAGCAAAAGAGACGAGTGACTTGGAAATCTCCCACTTTTATAGGTAGTATCAAAAATGTGGCTCTTGAAGGCACTCATCCTTGCGGTTCTACTAGCATTCGCGTCGACAAGTCTGCCGCTTAGACCAAAAGTTCGTTCATTTGTCCTTTTTTCCTTCATTTTCAGCATTACAAATACCCACCCATTATTATTGTTGCAAATTCAGTGCAAGGACTGCAATATTTGGATGAAGGACGAAATCAACAAGAAGATTTGCTCATCTGAATGCGTGGAATAGCAACCGCTGCATGATCTACTGCGAGCCTGCAATTAAAACTGAAGTCCCTGTATTAACCCTCATTTTTCCCAATTAGATAATCTTGTGTTTGGTTGTACATTTGTTATGAAAAAGCATCGGAACGTTCGAATCATTCAGGGATTACAAGAAAAGCTATGAGCGGTTATTAAATCTACGTGAAAATCGAGCAAAAACTACACATGAAGTATGACACAAAATAAAAAGACTCCCTGCTTCAGCCCGCTATTGTATCGACATGGATATCGATTAAACCAGATTTGTAGCTCAAGCAAAGAGGGGAGCCAACACTTAGAATCGGTCTCTTTCCAGGAGGAGATTTTATTGACAACGCCAAAAAACACGGTAAAGGATTGCAAAAATGAAGTGAACTCGCGGAATATGCTTTATGACGGCACCATTGTCTGGTGTCTTGGAAGACGACTTGTAAGAAAGAACATGTCACCTGTGTTTTCATAAACCCAACGTTCTTGTAAACAATATTGGTAAGCAAGATGTATATACTCAGACAATCATTGCGAACACCCGCGGCGGCCCTTAACACTGCCTTTTGGTAGTGCGCGAACCTTAAATTTTCGAATTGACCATCCGTGGGCCTAGATCTATTTGTCCGGTCACCCGCGACTCGATGTTACCGCAAGGGAAAGGCCGCGGCCCCTAAATGGCCTGAGAAAAAACACCCGGGCGAGCCTTGGGCCTTACAAGACGCCCTGCATAATTATTTCTCGGGCAAGCCCCGGCTCTTCAGGCCATGTCCGACAGAATCACTTAGCGAGCCGGTTTTTGCTGGACGGCTTATTTACACGCTGTAAGAGAAAACGTAACTCGCGCTACGCTTTGCTGATAGGACTGCGCTCAACCTTTGAATCTTGAGCTAGAAGTCACTCAGTTAAGGTCAACGCTCTGATCGTCAACAGCGTTTCGAACTGCCAACACTGAGGTCATTGCTTTTGCACCGTGTGGGTTTGATGAGGCTTTGCCATTTTTGTATAGAATATTCATGGCTGGGAATGGAAACATGTTCAAAATTTTTCAAACTCAGGCCGGGTGCATATCGGGCTACTCGTTGGCACATATCGCGCTTTCGCTCATGTCAGCCGCGGCCATTGTCGGGCTCTTTTCTAGTACTTATCGGCGCACCCTCGGGATGGGCGTAGCGTCGCCCGTGAATGGTTGACGGGAGCCCGCCATAAATGTCTGGGTATTTACCTACCTAGTTTTTATGTAACCTGAATGTCTGTGTAACTGTAGGCAAACTATTTTTAGCATTACATTCTAATCTACAGAATGCGCTCCGTGTGACAGAATGATGCATAAAGGACATGTACTAAGATATTAACTTTGATGTCTACGTGTGTATTGCCTGTCCTTGATGTCTTTATTGTTTACGAAGATTTGTAAATTGGCTTTCCTTAGCCAAAACAAGATTGGAAGTCTTTGTGAACAAATATCAACTATCAACCATGAAAAAGAAGTCCAGCGTGCTTCCATGAATTCAGTGCCATCCCCTGTCTACTGAATGCGACAGATGTTGGCTGTCTATCCATTTCAAACAGTCATAAGGAAGCACACTCCAAAATGTTTGAGTCAGAACTTTGGAAGGATAATCTACGGAAAGTTAAAGTTTCTCTCGCTTGAGTCATGTTTCGATTGATAGCAGGTAGGGTTTTTGATCACAAGGATAGCAAACGTTTCATTATTAGACTGCATCATCACTAGTTAATCTAACTTGCGCATATTGTGTCATATCTTGTATGCATGCCGACTCGGTGGCAGGGTAAAAAAGCAAGTCTTCTAATGCAAATGATTGAGAATTTCTTCCTACTTTCTTACAGTACTGGAATCCTCTTCTTTTGTTTCAGAACGCAGTTTCAAAAAAAGGGTGTTTTCGTGTTGTGTTCAATTTTTATGACACCATCCCTTGTCATAATAATTCAAAGAAGATTTCAGATTAATTGCGCGAGGTCGTGTGACTTCGTTTGCAAAAGTACTTTGAGCTAGCACCGTAGGGACAAGTTAGCACTGAAACCTAAAATTGTGTTAAAAGAGACAAACTGTTTGTTTACAGCGCAAACTTTAGATCATATGATACTCGGTACTTTTAGGTTTTCTGGACCCATTTTTTGAAGGTGTTCTCATAAAATAAGTGTTTCAGCCTGAAAAATTTTTTCGTAGATCCTATAAAGATTATCTCTTTGCCACGTATTAAGATAAAAATTAATACGTTTACGTTCAGTTTGACGTGTTATTCTTACATAGATACGGAAAATTGCTTTTTGCAGTGCAGACTAAATCATATGATGCTCAATTTGAACCACATTTATATCGAAAAGAAAACCTAGGTATTTTTGTCGAGTAGTGCTTTGTATGCTCCAAGAAAATTCAGTGCGTCTCATACCAAGCGACTGAGCTGGCCTAGAACGTGAATTTAGAAACTTTACATTCAAGCTTTTTTGGCGTAGGCTCTTTCCTCGTTCAAAAAATCTATCTTTTATCAAAAAGGCCAACTAAGAGCGTTGTTCCTGCTCAATTTTCTGCCTCTTGATAAAATAACTTCTTAGTTGCGCCTCAACTGTAGCATATTTTCGTCTTGAGCGTTTCTTATCTCCGACTTTTATCTTTTTTTATTTTTATTAGGTTGATGCATGATTCCTGCACCAAATAGGTACAGACCGCAATAATCCGGAATAACCCTATATCGTAAATAGGATTCAATATATCGTTAGATAGGGCAAACCTAGCTCTACAAGATATGCTTGATGTTTAGTAGCATTTATTCAAGTGAAGATTGAAGCCAAAAACCGAAAAGATCTAAGCGCTCCAAAAACTAAGAAAAAATTGGAATTCCGTTCAGAAAAATCTTTCAAAATTAATTTCTAGCTTGCTCATGCATTGTCAATTCGTATAAGACATTTCTCTTTGCAAAGCTATACTTCAAGAGCTTAGCGCTACGACACAATCAGCAATCGGGATTAGTTTTTACTTTTTCTAATTGAGTTAACTGCCATCATACTACGAAAATTATGTTTTACGGATTGCCTCAAACCGCATCTCTACCACAAATATTATTGATAATTGACTGGCATACCCGGCTCCGCCCGGCCCTGTCAAAACACTATGTCAAAGATCACTATCCCTATTCTTGTGCAAACCCTTTCCTGTGCCCTGCTGATTCCCTATCGCCGTTTTGTTTTCGTAATCAGCATGCCTCCCCGCTTACCCTTGTGACTCCCGGCCCCGAAGATCATCTTGCATATGCAGTAATTCTGAAAACAAATGTTGTATTCGTAACCAGCATGCTCACTTACACCCTAACGCCAACGTAGGCCAAACTTTGCAAAAAAAATCAATAAAGGAAGTAGTATCCATCCATGACGCCTTTGTTTAGCATATGTTTACTACATTTTGCTTTGGAAGGAGTTACGATTTTTAAGCAGGGCCCTGAATGAGGTGGGAAATGTCAAGAGGGAAATAGCTTTGGATGGAAAGCAAAGGGGATATCGTATTAGGTTGTCAAGAAAATAATGTCGTTTTTTATTTGCTTGCTTTAACAAAGCAACCAGACTCAACCCAACAAAGGGTAATGGGTATTGTTCGATAGAGCAAAGCAAGCTCTACAAGATGGCACTCATATCTTTGCGCCATGCTCGATCCACGGAGAGTTCGAACTCAAAATCTAAAGATTTCCAAATGCCCAAAAAATCGAAAAAAATCAGATCTTCGTCCAAATAATTTCTACGGACCTCCCACTCGCTCACATCAATACTATCGATACCTGACATCCATGTGTGCGATTGCCGTATTTTTTCCTTGACTAGAAACTGGGAAAACGAGAATTTCCCTGATTTTCTCAAAGCAATGCTGAGCCGTTTCTGCAAGTGTAGTTCTATACTACAAGCCCAGGTAAGTATAACTATAGATTTTCAGCCCATTCCAAGCGGTAGTTTTCGAAAAATAACGAATTCGGATTTTTTCGTTTCAGTTTCAGTGCTAAAATCGACATTTCTCGAAAAGTACCGCTCGAAATAGGCTGAAAACCTACAGTTGTGCTTACCTAGGCTTGTAGTATAGAAGTACATATGCAAAAACGGCTCAGCATTGCTTTGAGAAAATCAGGGAAATTTTCGTTTTCTCAGTTCCTAGTCAAGGAAAAAATACGGCAATCGCACATATGGATGTCAGGTATCGATAGCATTGATGTGAGCGAGTGGGAGGTCCGTAGAAATTATTTGGACGAAGATCTGATTTTTTTTCGATTTTTTGGGCATTTGGAAATCTTTAGATTTTGAGTTCGAACTCTCCGCGGATCGAGCATGGCGCAAAGGCATGAGTGCCATCTTGTAGAGCTTGCTTTGCTCTATCGAACAGTACCCCTTACCCTTTGTTGGGCTGAGTCTGGTTGCTTTGTTAAAGCAAGCAAATAAAAACGACATTATTTTCTTGACAACCTAATAGATATAGGTTTACATGTACATATGCTCTCTCGACAAGTTGTTATATGACTGACGTGAAAAAACACGATTCACGCGCTTCATCCTCAAAAGTCTAATTTTTTCATTACGTTGCAATGTCTCCGCCAGCCAGATCGCACACACAACTACATGACTAAAATTTGAAGTAACGGACGTGCATACTGTCTGCAGAGGAGCATACTGTATAGCATTGGGAAGAATTAAGTGACTCAAGGCTTCGGCAACCTTTTTTCTGAATATTTCCCTCCACCACAAAACGATAAATTGACACGTTTGCAATGCACAGATGACGATGTGGCATGAAACTTGGTGTTTGTACGCTCAGTTGGGTAAGGAAAGCATGAAGAATTATGAGAGGCTTTTGTATAGAGTGCGCGCTCAGCTTTTTTTAATCAGGCTGGCAATTGCCCACCGGGTAAAGGGAAGAACCAGGGCCCGGCACGAGCTTGTCAAATGACAAGCTGGAAATCGTTTTCGGCCAAAAAAGCAAAGGGGAAATCGTTTTCGCGGGGTCCGGGGCGGAGCTTCGGAAGAAAAAATTGATAGTCATGACGGCAAAGTTATTTTAACAAGCTATCTTATCTTAGCGTATCTTAACATGTTACGTGCCTCAACAGGCGAAGACTGGAATTAGCGCGCGTCAAATCGCGCCGTCGCTAATGGACGCACGCGCGACGTCGCTCACACGATGCTATTTGTAACAGCATACATGATTAGTTCTCAATGTATGCGTAACGATATGACACCAAATTTTGTAGGCGAACGGAGAGAGGATAGTGGAAACAAAGTATGAGAAATTATGTAAAACTTATGTGAACGGAACGAGTAATAAGCATTTTTCCCGAAAATTTTGCAAAATTGGTAAATGAAGATGTGAATTCAAATGGCTCGTTTGCAACGAGCAGATGACGATATGGTATGAAACTTGGTAGGTACATGGGCACAAGCCTGTAGGAGTTAACATAGGAGTTTCATTGAAAAATTATGTGACTGAAGGTTGTGGCAAACTTTTTTATGAAAATTTCCCGCTACCAAGGAAATGGAAAAATGGCTCGTTTGCAACGCAGAGGAGACGAAATCGCGCGGGATTCGGTGTGTATATGCGCAGTAGGACTAAGTAACAAAGTATGAAATATTATGAAAAACTTATGTGAATGAAGAGTTTCCCCAACTTATTTCCAAATTAGCTTGTCATTTGACAAGCTAATGACAAGCTGAGCTTGGCAAAACTCTCAATTCACATAATTTTTCCAAAATTTTTACATAAATCTATTCTACGCCTAAACATTAGTATATACTGAAAATTTGGTCCCAAACCTCCTCCTCTCCCCATTGCTAGAGGCAAAAATAGCCTCAACAGCCCCGTTTCTTAAGAAGGAAAGCGCGCTCCAATCGATAACGGCGTTTTTGAGTCCTATACGGCATTGCTATAATATTTCGCTGCTTTTCTCGTTTCATTCGCTCATCTTGGCCATTATTCACTCACTATAGTAGATTTTTGTGATTATGAGGCCATTTCAGGTACCGATGGTATTGATGAGGAACAAATCCCTAGCTCTGCGTGCTGTCGATAGGCGAATTGTATCAGAAACTTCTAGAGCTTATGTGAGCTAGACTTGATTATGCGGTAAGGAATTCACTAATAGTTGTGCATTTCTAATGTGTGGCATAACTTTTAATTAGGATGACTCATCACTTTCTTCATCGCTTGTGACCAACAAAGTCGATCTTGTGTCACAACATAGCGATTTGCTTGAACGCACTCGCATACTTAGGAATGGGCGAGTTGGTGGAGTACTATCAAGACGGACGGGAAAGTGATACGTACATTACTTTCATCGTGTTTTACTGTTTCTAGATGGTATGGTTATTGCAAATTTTCCGCAAACTGTTGCCTCAACCGTTTTGCCTTCCTTACCGATTTTCTGCTCTGAATAAGTAGGTAAATGAAATCATGCGTCGAATTTTTCCATTCGAGCCGGTGGGTGATTCTCTTCATCAAGCAGATCAAAAAGCCTAGAGCAGAGAGCAAAGAGCATCAAACGGTTATTCCAAATCCTTTTTTTCGATTCACTTTTTCGGAAATTTGGGGGCTCAGCTGGATGGTCCTAGACAACACATTAACTTCTATATACTTTCTTGAGTCTTGCACCTTTTTACAACTGTTGATATATCCATACCTTGCCAATCTTTACGGAGGACGTGTGAGCCTACTTATTGATATCAGTTTGACGTCAGTCCGAAATTCTATAATCTCAGTGGAATGTCGGATAGAGGCTTGGACAAATTGGTTTATCTCGTAGGATCGGCTATAGCTCCTATAACGAATGCACTGTCTTTACTGCACCATCAACAACTGCAACAACTGCTATTTCATGTGAGATTTTGGAACATTATTACCCTTCACTTCCTTACAGTGATTTCTCAAGGTGGGTCGTGCCGTGCAAATGTTGCTTTCACGATCACCATATAGAGATATCGCAACCCCATGTTTATTTTTTCTAAGCCAGCGATTGGGATGCTATGGACATTTCCCCCTCGTTTTTACAGTTCTTCGTTTACAAGCCGTCCTTACTGCAATCACTTAGCTCTCCATACTTGGTATGTACAAGTCGTTGCAAATGTCTCACTGAAATCTTGTGTTCAGAAAAATGGTTCAACTACTTCCGACGAGCAAGCAAACAATGTCAGTTTGGCTCTGTCAAGGACAACCCTTTAAAAATCTTACCGTTCACTATTTTTGGCAGATTTTGATCTCACCGTATGCGAAATGAAGGATAGAAAGTACCGTTTTTGCTTCTTTAGTAAAATCTAGTACGCGAATTTAGCTCACTCAGGCTGGTTGGATCTGTATCGAGAAATGTCCAAGGAGTATTCCCCTTCAGAACTGATAGAAATGATCACCATCCTTGTTCTTTTATTTCAATTTTCGGCCTACAACCTTACATGGGAATGTATCATCGAAAGCTGTGGACGGAGGTGATCCATTTTTTTAGTCTGAAGGTGGTGTGCTAAGCTCTTCATATCTAGATGTTGGCTTTGGACATCCATGGAACCTTTGACTATGAAGATGATGTGGTCAAAAACCGGTGAAAGTCTCAAAACAACCATTCTCTCGCGTGAATCAGGGGATTTAGCCAAAGAGCTCTATCGAAGATTCCAAGTATTCGCACTTTCTCGTTTTTGCCATGTAGGAATGATTTGCCGTTTTTTCTCTTTAGCATTGTTGAGCTTAGCTGCCCTACCAAAACATTCGGGCAGCTTTGGCTAGGTTCATACTGATACTGATCCGTAAAATCCGGAATAGTTCCAGCACAGCGCACATTTTGGGCGCTGTGTTGGAACTGTTTCGGAACTTAAACATCAGTATAAACCCAGCCTTTGAGCGTTGCCGCCGAACCGACTGGAAACCGTTTTTAACATCACGAAGAGCGCCGTTGGAGTCATTGTCAACAAGCGTGTACGGTCAGTACTTGTTTTTCTTCTTCTTTTGGATTTTGGACACTTTAGCTCATTTCTTACGCATTCTTGCTGTGTTTGTTTTTGTTTCATTCTTCATCTTTTAATTATATTTCTGGGCTGTTTCTAATCCGGCTTCGCCCTGTAGCGTTGACGATCCGCGAATATGCGAAAACATTCATTTTTGTGCGTTAGGCCTCGGACAGAGTCACGCGATTCGATCGTCGCGATTCAATCGCTACAAAACAAGTGTTACGAATTCATTGCATGCCGATCTTCTTGTATTCGGTTGTGATAGTTTTTCAACACGACTAATCTGACTAACTATAACAACCGAAATATAAGAAGGTCGGCCTGCAATGAATTCGTAACACTTGTCTAGTCTAGTGTCTCGAATCGCGGCGATCAAATCGTGTGAACTCTGTCCGAGGCGTTAAACTGGCTTTTGGCAGAGGCACGATTATGGAACAATCATACTCATAGCCAAATTCTTTGTTATCTTGGAGTATGTTGTTGGCTTTGAAAGCGACATTTTGAATATGTATACTAAATTACTTCAAATCATTTAGCTGAAATTGTCGCCTTTCATCGTTTGATGGGTATCCAACTATGAAGCTGCACCAGTTTACCTCACAATTTTTTTCATTTTTTCATCAGAATTTAATGCGCGATTTTCATCATTCTATCGTGCTAATAAACTTGAGAGCTCTCTGCAATCCTATAAAATCCTTGATCTCGCCCTCTTCAAATTTTGATTTTTGTGGTAATCTCAGCTTTCATTTTACGCGTAGAAAAATTGCCGCAGCTCGGCCCCATTTTCGCTGACTAATGGTCCTCATACAACATGCAATAGCATGTGCCAAAAGAGTAGTTCGCAAAGGCAGTGACGGCTCTATCCGTTCGTCCACTTTAGCTTCATAAATTTGAAGTCCTATCCTACCGTAGAAGGCACTGCTGGCGGCAGGCGTTGCTTTCCACTGTCTGCTTTTGCCTATCCAACTTATCAATCAAATACTATTCCACATTCCTCATTTACTTACTTTCGTCATCTTTGGCTTTCTTTCGTCTGTCTCTATGAGATTTCTCTACGCTGTCTACTGCTGAGGCTTCACTGCACCTTGTTTTTTTTTGAAAAGGTCACAAGGTGCTTCGATCATACCGATTTTGATTTCAAGATTGTCAATACAAGTCAGTCAAGATTATGTGATGATAGAAGAGACTAAATCTCTCCAGACAGCCACGAATGCTGAAAGCTAAATTTATAGACTACGCATTGCTTGTTTCCCTTACACTACTAAAAATGGAGATGTTGTAGTCCATACGATTTCCAAAACGTTTAATTTTGTTGAAGTGTTGTTTTTACAGAGGACGAATCATCCCCAAGTGCATCAACATCCGAGTGGAACATGTCAAGCCCTCCACCTGCAGACAAGACTTCTTGAACCGCGTAAAGGCTAACGATGAGAAGAAAAAAGCACCTAAAGCAGCCGTACTCGCCGATTTCGTGAACGGAAACATTTTTGGACCCTCACCCCGCCCCCCACCCTTCCTAGCTGCCGATGCAAATCATTGATATCACTCAAGATCTCTCATCTGATCTCTTTTTTCTTTGTTTTGTTGATTTTTTCTTCAATAAATGTTCTTTTTTGGGTAAAGTGTTCAGTGCAGAATCACTGGGACCAATTTTGGGGTCAAAGGGGAAATCGTAAACAAATTTTGGGTCAAAGGGGAATTCGTTTTCGAAAACCCCTTTTGACAAGCTCGTGCCGGGCCCTGGGAAGAACGCCTTTATTAAGACCGCCTCTGGGGGTTACTGGTCTCAACAAAATGCACAACAGTAGAAAGAAAGGAACAGCAGCCCGGACGCGGTGCCTAACTGAGGTGTTCGTTTCTCTGACCATTGCCCTCCTTCACATAAGTATTTCATTTTCACATAAACCTGTTCTACACCTGAAGCTTGATATAATATACTGTTGTAGAGCCGTCCCTTATATTGGAACTTGCTCACTCACTATAGGCTAGGTCGATATGGTCTCTGTGATTGCGGCGTACCCGCCGCACCTTGACATATTTGTGTGTGTTGTTCTCTAGTTATTCCTAGTGAACCCTCGGCATGTACGCCGATAGGCAAAGGGGGAACTCTTGTGTTTTTCTAATAAATCGTCAACGACTCAACGCGTTCCACAACAACTGGCGATCAGGATCAAGGACAAGAAGCCTCCACCGACCAAGGACCAGAAGCCTCCATCGATCAAGGACAAGAAGCCTCCACCGACCAAGGAAAAGAAGAAGCTTCACCGACCAAGGGCCAGAAGCCTCTATCCATCAAGGACGAGAAGAATTGCTGCAGCTCAGATCGGGGAGGAAGCTGTCACAGGTCGAGGGCAGCCAAACAAGAGAGGTCCACCATGCCGAAAGCCAGTGAAGAACGGCATGGTCACGACTCCTTGGAGAAGGTCCTATCAGTCATGGTCGACCAGATGCGGCTCCAACAGGAGGAGATGAAGCTGCATATGCAGCTTCAACAGGAACAGATGCAGGCTCGACTACAAGCTCAGCAGGAGCAGATGCGAGTGCAATTGCAAGCTCTACAGGAGCAAATGCAGGTACAATTACAAGTACAACAGGAGCAGATGGGGATGCTAATCACCACTCTGGTCAGTAATCAGGGAGCCATCCAAGACATCAGCAAGGATCAGTACGATCAGCTGAGTAAGGACGTGCAAAGGTTCGTCTCAGACGAAGAGACAGGTAACACCTTTGCGTACTGGTATGGCAGGTACGGACCGGTTATACGCGACTCCCAGCTTTCGGAACAGAAGAAGCGCGACTTAATCCTAATGAAGCTGGATGAAGAAGCATACCGGAAGTATGCTGATGAGGTTCTGCCTGCGCAACCGAGCGACTTGGACTTCGACACCACCGTCGCGAGTCTCCAGAAGCTGTTCGCCTCCAAAAGACGCTCATCAGGAGAAGGTATGAGTGCCTGAGGATAACCTGCCCTCCGCTTACTCCAGCGTACGTACTATTTCGCGAGTACGCCAATACCATCAAGCGGATGGACGAGGATGCCCGGCTTAAGGAGGTCGATTACACGGCAATGAAGACGCTGCAATTTGTAGCAGGTCTTCAGGATCCCTCACTTAGGAAAGTTCGCCTTCGGATGATTCGTCGACTGGACGCTCACAGGGACGAAGCACCGTTGACAATCGAGGACCTAGTCGCGGAATGTGAGAATTTCACTGCTATGAAAATGGATAACACGGACATGGAAGGCACGCGCGACATCCATGCAGTGTGGAAGAAAAAGGAGGTAACTTGTTTCACGTGCGGAGGACCACATTTCAGAAGAGACTGTCCACAAGCCGACAACATTGGTCGGAAGAAGCGGCGGAAGACAGGGGCGCAGTTTGGCCGCCGAAGACAGTGCAAACATGTGGTCGCCTTCGACACCGAGTGCGCGCGGACTTACCTCGACGTCGTAGTTAGAGGATGTAATCTCAAACTTCAGCTGGACACAGGTGCAGATATAACGCTGATATCACGCAGAGCTTGGAAGAGGATGGGATCTCCGGCTCTGGAACCCTGTGTGATGCCCGTGAAAACTGTAGGCGGGATGTCGATGAAGATATATGGTAAATTCTCAACCGACTTTTCCGTCAGAGATCGAGTTACAGGGAAGATGCTTCATGGAAATGGCACATGCTACGTCACTGAAGGCTCGAATCTACTAGGACTGGAATGGTGCATCCAGCTGCCGGCATACAAAAAGCTGAAGGGCAACTTCCATTGCAGAAAGGTGACTAGCGAAGAGAAAATTCGAGTCGAAGTGGTCGCCGACTTGAAGAAGAAGCATGGGAAAGTTTTTAACAGCGACCTAGGAAAGTGCACGAAGAGTAAGGGCATCAACAGAGACATCAAGGACTCAGTGCGCCGCTGTAGGGCATGTCAAGAAACAGCCAAGATGCCAGTGAAGACTGTGCTGCATTCATGGAAAGTGGAAGATAAACCATGGAATCGACTTCACATTGACTATGCCGGGCCGCTTAATGGTAAGATGTATCTCGTCGTAGTTGACGCTTACTCGAAATGGCCAGAAGTATTTGAGATGCCTTCATCGTCAACTACAGCTACCCTGAGAGAACTCCGATCTTTATTCGCTCGATTTGGAAATCCGCAATTGATCGTGTCGGATAATGGGACGCAGTTCACAGCAAAGGAGTTCCAAGATTTCTGTGATGAGCGAGGAATCAAGCATATGCGTTCACCACCATTCCATCCGCAATCAAATGGACAAGCGGAGAGGTTTGTGGATATCTTCAAAAGGACCTTCCAGAAAATTAAGGAGGGAGGAACGGCAGAGAAGCTTGCGGAGTTTCTACAGTCTTATCGACGAACGCCTTGTACAACTGCTCCGGGACAACGTTCGCCTGCCGAGCTGCTCCTGGGACGTCAGATAAGGACACCGCTGTCGCTGCTGAATGAAGATCCCAAAGAAGAAAGGAAGATGGGCAACGAAACCATGGAGAAGCAGTTTAACCGCCACCATGGAACCCGAAGGAAAGCGTACCAGCCAGAAGAAGCCGTGTGGGTACGTGATTTCCGCTCTGGATGTGAAAAATGGATTCCAGCTAGAGTGAAGAAACGCTACGGAGAAGCACTACATGGCGTGCTTACTGAAGACGGTCAGTTATGGAGACGTCATGCGAACCAGTTGCGCCGCGCAGCAAGTATGGATTGACATCATGACGCAACACAGTCCATTCCCGACGAAGGCCGACGTAACAATGGTATGGATGCTGCTGAACACCAAGCCACCTCGTCTAAGCCACCGACACCAACCAGACCAAGTCGCCATCGTCGCCAACCAGAACGTCTACAAGTAGATCCTTATTATAAGATGTACCGTTGTTCATCTTAGGAGGGAGGTGTTGTAGAGCCGTCCCTTATATTGGAACTTGCTCACTCACTATAGGCTAGGTCGATATGGTCTCTGTGATTGCGGCGTACCCGCCGCACCTTGACATATTTGTGTGTGTTGTTCTCTAGTTATTCCTAGTGAACCCTCGGCATGTACGCCGATAGGCAAAGGGGGAACTCTTGTGTTTTTCTAATAAATCGTCAACGACTCAACGCGTTCCACAACATATACAGTAATATTCTTGGTTTTAAAGCTCCTCCTCTCTTCCTTGTTAGGGCCCGGAATAGCAACACATTGTTCCTTTTGAGAAAAAAAAGCGCTCTAATAAAACAAATTATACAGCTGGCGGGATTAAGTGAAAATCGTAAAAATGATGTGGCAAAAGCAAAGTCGTTTCTCCATGTCCATTTGCGACCCTCGCGCTGGTCTGTTTCCAGATCGGTTGTAGCTTCATTAAACGATATTTTTGAGTAAGGAAAAAGACTTATAACTTCATTATAACTTTTATAATGGTGTGTCATTTCCGTCATTAGTATCCATCAGTTGAAATCCGGCAACTTTTTGTGTTGATGTTCCTTTGGAATTTCAGAGAACAAGAACACTAATCGATTTATTGAGATGCGCAGTTTAGAAGAGTGTGATAGCATATTCAAGCTTAGTCGTAACAAATTTTTACCAGTTGCCACAATGCAAACACTAATGAGTACTCTCCACCGGGCAAGTTGGGCAGAACACCTTCTTCGGCAACTTTTGCAGTGACCAATCGTAAGCGGGATAGACAAGGTGGCGTTCATCTTAATTCATTTTTCCAATTTTTTGAAAAATTTTCTCAACATTATCCACCTTAACTTTATAAACGGAAAATTCGATTTCACCACTTATGGTATCTACCATCTAGTACAATACAATAATTAGGATGATGAAGGACTCTCAGCGTGAGATGTCCTGGAAGTTTCAGTGTATAAGAGATATCAATTATTTCCAAGAATATAAATGATACCTTCTTAGAAAGTCTAGGTCATTGGACTTCACGTAGTTCATGATGCTGATAAGCCTGATAATGATTGGCTGAAGTGATTTTTCGTCTGATGCTCACCTCGGACTCATCCCCGGCATGTCTCTATTTACAAATCCACCTAAAAATCAGATTTTATAAAATAATTGATTAAAGAAACCATACCCTCCATACTTTTTTGGGATACAATGTTTATTCATTTAAGCACCTCCTTATCGCCAACAATAACCATTTTTCGGAGATTTTCTTTAGAGAAAAATAGTTGAACAATTGTCCAAATCAGACTAACAAGTCGTGGTGGAATTGCGAGGTAGATCACTTGCACAATTTATGGGTACCTTAGAGTCATACACATGAGGAAAGTCACTGATTACCTGGGGCGCTATGTATCAATCGCACGATCGTGAGATCGTGTGCTCGCTTACGTTGTAAAGATGCCCATGATCAGGTGCGAGCACACGATCTCGCGATGTATAAAGCACACGATCTTGCCACAAGATCGTGTAGCTGCGCACGATGTGTCGAGATCGTGCGCAGCTATGCGACAGATCGTGTGCTCCCCATTTGACGTGTGAAAGTACATGGTGTTGCCACGTCCAAGTTTTCTGCACGCCTATTTTTGCACAGCGATGGGCCGAAACTCCTTCTAATCCTGCAGTTCCTCTCATTTCGCGATTTTTTTTTGTTTCCTGCGCTTCCGATGCATTGCAGCATGTGATGATTATGATTCCAGACATTTGTGCACAATTGTTCAAGGAGGTACTCGGTGATATTCTTTTTTGCGATGTCTCACATTCCAACCGTAAGAAATCACACAACATTCACTTTCGACTGTAAGTTTCTTTTTCAGAAATAAAGTCGATGTGTTCTCATCCAAGCATGCACCGAAGCCAGAAAAAAAGGGAGGTTAGTGTCTAAATGTGTAGTTTTTGACTTTTATAAGATTTGTGGTTTACATTCTCACTCCTATGGTACTAGTATTAGCATTTTGTTTTTATTTGCTCAGTTAATCTAAAATACGGTATCATTAGAATCCTACCAGTCGTTGACTTTTTTTGATGCAAGCTGATGTTATACTCATATCTATGGCTACGAAGGGCTGCGACGAGCGCCCCATTATTGAGTGCAAATTTCGTTTCGCAAACCCTCGATAAAATGCCATGTCCCTATCATCGAAGAAGTGTCGTTCAAAGAAAATGAATTTGATCTGCACAAGAACCAAAAAGCGAGTGCTTCTATTGTGCGTGATATCGTCGCATTTCCGGAGTGAGATCAGTATTCCTCAAACTTATGCCTCCAGGAAATTTTTTTTGATACTGATTACAACGGGCTTGGAGTAGATCGATGATTTTTTAGTTCATCTGTTTGCTTGTTTCTGAGTATAATGGGTACTTCACCTTTTCAAGCTTGCCGCTGAAAGACGGGGGAGCTTAGACTGGATTTCGCAGATCTACAACTATGAGCTAGTCTGCATGTTCTCAACTAAATCACAGAAAGTATCATCGAAAATGGAATTGCGTGAAACTAGTGTTACTCGTTTTAATCTTGTTACTCGCGTTACCAGTGTTAGCCGTGTTACCAGTGTTACTAGTATTACCGATTTTATTGCTCTTTAGCAATGAAATAGCAAATGCAGTTTCATTATAGAACGCAATCTTATTGACTGGTGAGTAACACTGGTAACATTACCAACACGAATAACACGAGTCACTCTAGTAACACGATTAAACTAGTAACACGGGTAACACTAGTAACTCTGGTAACATCGGTAAATTCTGACGGATCCCTTATAGGCTAATCTGTCGTTTACACTTTTAAACTGCAGATCATTTGCATATACAGTAAGAGCAACCTGAAGTTAGAGTAGGTGTTAAACAGGAGCACATTTGCTGAAGTCATGTCAGAATAGCAATTGTGGAGATTTACCACTAATGTTGGTTGAGTAAATTACCGCTTTTTTGAACATGTTCATGAATCCATAATAGGTGCATAATCGCGCGCTTCCATAGCAAATGCCGTGCTCCCCTTTCGCAGCCATTTGTAACTGTAGGCATAAGTACGATGTTACACGTATGCTCATTGTGACTGCACAACACGATGCTTTTTTTAGAGAAGAAGGAAGCTTACTCCTAGCCAGCTGCGAAAACCAAGGAACCAGAAGATGAGGCCGTGGAAGACTGCTGTGAAGTCGAAGGATGCGTCTGCGGACGTGCCAAAGGGTACTATTATGATGATTTCCTTCAAGCGAGGTGTGCTCCAGCGAGAATAATGATACCAAGGCCATTCACTTCTGAGACAACTTCGATGCCGAACTTTTCGGGTATTGCGAATACACAAATACTCCACCGAGCTCATGCTCACCTTCGTGAGCTGTAATCTTATCAGTATCTAGGTCAGTTTCTTTTTATGCGTCTGACTTTCATTCCTCTCTCAAACAGTAATAAAATTTCTCCCCTATAGGAATGCATCAGCGACTGGAAAGCTTAAGGAAAATTTGCTCTTAATAGCAATTTACTATCAGCGGCAGCTGGGCGTGAAAAGGCCGTGCCCATTGGCAGGTACGTTTCGAGACATTTATAATAGGAAGAGAAGTTATTCAGTCTCTTTTGTAATCTACAGTTTTTCCATAATCTCGTCAGTCGAATTACTGTCGATTCGTCCTCTGTCATGTCTACATCCCTTCAAGATTTTTTATGTTAATCTCGGTCCTTTACGTTATAGTTTCTAACGTCCTCTGTTCAGGTTGAGCATCTTCGAATGGAAGAAGTATGTCCCAAAGAAGGAAACAACGAAGCTCGTAACTGAACATTACATATGGGGAGGTGACTTCAAAGGAAAGAAATTCAACTAAATAGATTCTAAGTAGATCACTGAAGTTGACTTACATTTGTTGCATTCTCGTTTTTGAAATATATGTATATATCGTCCCGGTTTCAGATAAATTCTTTGAGTGGTGTTATGCATATAACAAATAAATCGCAAACTGCTTTTTGAAGATTGCATCACATTAGTTGCAATAGATAGTTCTATCTAGTTTGATCATACTTTTTGGAAGTCTACTGCAGATCGTGCTGGCTAGCAGTAGGCTTATGTTAAAGCAGTCTCCTTTGGCAAGGAAATCTCCAACGCACTGCGGATGTTGTAGCAGGAGTTGATTTGCGGTGTCAGGACTTTGAATTTGAAAAAGTAGAAGAGTGGCAGGGCTTTGAATTTGTAAAAGTAGAAGAAGTGATAAAAAAATAAAGGTACCGGAGTTAAACTTATGCCAAAATGATTTACCCTAAAATCTCACAGATAAGTCAATAGAAAAGTGTCAGGGAGATATGATAAGATCTTATCAATTAAGTCCGTCTGCAGGCAAGTCTGTTTTATTTCTATTATAATTAGCAGAAATCTTATCAGATAAGTCCGAAGACTGTTAGATAAGTCCGGACTTCTATGTAGGCGGACTTACGTGATGGGAGGATATCTGCAAGATTCTCGGCGGTGCGAGGATGCGAGGTTGCATTTTAATTTCTCTTGTCAAGAAAGGGACTTATTTGTAAGATTTTAGGGTAACTAGCGGCCCAATGACCATCAGGTGTGAGAAATGATATATTGGGTCAAAATCCTCGTAACCCTTTTTTCAATGACGAAAGCTAATAAACTTATAGATGTATTGATTGAAGTTCTGCTGGGAAGGCACGGTGCGCATATAAAATGGCAAGTACGACTGCTTGTGGAAGGACACTCAGACCAAAACTTGACGACAACGCGCATTTTTAGATGTCTGCCTTGTGGGACAAAGCCTATGAAAAACTTGACAATTTCTAGCTAAGACGTAGATCGTCATCTATAGTGCAACTACAGCAATTTTAAGAGGAGCCAAGAAACGCGGAAGTGATTTCTAAAAATAACCTCAGAGCCTAGGAAAACTTCTGAAGTGAATGCATGCCGAAACTATAATCATCTTAACTAACTTGGAGCGACCCATGTGGGTCACATTGCCCCACGTACCAGTCATTGCATGACCCAGTATGGGTCATGTTGTCGTCATTGTGCTAACAAGAATTGCCGCTGGCATTCGAAAAAAGATGTTGCGTTCAGTGAAGCTCATTTTTGTGCAAACCCTGCACCTCGTACTTTTTCTCGAGACTCGCCTACGCAGTGAATAACCGCAGCGCTTCTCCTTCTTGTAAAGCATCCTTCCCGTAGCTCTCCCTTCTGTGGCTTGTCGCAATGTATTGCCTGTTCCTTTCAGCTTAAATTTTCATATAGCGTTAGCGGTTTTTTCCGTGAAAGCATTTGAGGCGGCTCCTTTTCACTCTAGCCTCAAAATATGAGTTCTTCCGATTTTCTTAGCCAAAATGCTATGCTACAAGTTTTTAAACCTAAAACATCACATTCAAGTTATTCATTCTTTGTTCGTCATATAAGGAGCTATCGCTAATAACGATTTCAATCTTGATGCTCATGCTGCCATACTATGAACGCTATTCCATATTCGGACCCCAAAATGTCAAAGTCTTGAATGCTGTTCAAACTTCGTCTAGTAGGTGGGTTGTCAATTCTGCGCGGTAGCGCCATCTTTTGAGGCTGCTGTGGGTATATGGTCGGGAGGTCAGATCGCGGACTTCGCTAAATCTCAGTCTAGGGATTCCTGTTTGGCATGCTGATCACGAATATCATACTTTTTCTGCAAAAAGGTTTTTTCGTGAAGTTATTGTAGGTTTACGGTAGGGGGACAAAGTCTTAAGTTTGGCTGCGGTTTGATTTAAAAGGTATTGTACATGTTGGTCGCAGGCATCATATTTCGTTGCGTTTTGGGACCTTTTCAAGGAGTCACTGTAGTGTATGGCAGTGGTTAAAAGATATTGTACATGTTGGTCGCAGGCATCATATTTCGTTGCGTTTTAGGACCTTTTCAAGGAGTCACTGTAGTGTATGGCAGTGGTCAAAAAAATAGACCTGCCTGAAAATTAGTGCCAGATCATCTGGCTTGCTGATCACGAAAATCTTGCTCATTTTGCATGATAAAGCCATTTCATTTTTGTGATGTGACGAAAGAATGCCTACCTATATGCCGCAAATTACCGTAACTCCACAATAACGCGTTGATGCAGCAAGCAAGCATAGTATCCCTAATCAGCATGCTTGAAACTTTCTAGGAAAAGTTTTGTGCAAATTTGAAACTGCAATCATCCACCTTACATGCATCGTAGTAAGAAAATGGCGCTACAGAAGCTGTATGATATTCATGTTCAGCGGGCTGACTCCCTAGGCGAACTTTAGAAAATTCGTAGTTCCACCCCATACCGTATAACCACCGTAATTCCATGAAAGAGCTCTAAAATGCAGAAAGAATATGATGTTTGTGATCAGCACGTCAGAAAACCCCAAAGTTTAACCGATACCGATTTTGACCCTTACCTATACCCAACGTAGCCCTACCAAATGTCGTTTTTGAGAAGAAAAAAAGCATGGACCGAGTTTCAGCGAAACACGACTTTGATTTTCGGCGCCGAATACTGAAATAGTGCCGTTAGCATTTCCAGTCTAAGTACATAGTTTTTATTCTTCAGAATTTTTAAATCAAGCCCGAATCTCCTCTTTTTCTGAAAGTCCTTTTCTCCCTTCATTCGAAGCAGCTAAGCTGCACCACAGAAGTCACAAATGGAGAATGCGCATAGCTATCGCTTTGCCGCGTAGTTCGCGTTCATGTGGTAGATGCACAAGTCGGGGATCTAGTAATGTGAAACAAAAGTCAGAGCACGAAATCATAATGATATATCATGATTACAACGAAAGTGCAACCCAGCAGAATGCTGAATGAGTGTTACTCAAATGTTTTCCACCGAACATAAGGTATTTGACAAATTTGGACTTTCAAAATCATTGCATATATGAAAAGAAGATGCTTCATGCCGCCACGATGTAGGGCGTTTCGCACGCCCATAATGCTTTCCACACAAACATTCCGCGCGCGACACACCCTGCGCAGCTTTTGCCTAAGCAAAAAGGGGGAGGAAAGATTTGCGGCGTGGTAGCGTGTTGGACAAGTGAAAATGAGGGCGACGGTGAAAACCTCCGTGTGACCGTTTCTCCACGCGCCACAATTTGCGGCGCTTGTGATCTAAGCGAATAAAGAGGAAGAACAATCTGGCCTTGAAAGCAGATTGACCTTTCATATTTTTGAAAGAAAAAAATACAGACATCATTCTACAAACAGGACGACGGCCGTAGGAGCTGCTTCCATGCTTTTGTACGTAACTGTATAAAAATTTCAATGCATATATGAAAAGAAGATGCTTCTTGCCGCGCGCCACGATGTAGGGCGATTCGCACGCCCTACGCGTGGCGACCATAAAGGCAGTGTCCCGGCAGATTCGCGCCCTGGGTGATATCGCTGCGGTGGGGTTCTGGCCACCCCCACTTACCTCTAGGCCTCTTCTCTTGCTTATTCGACGCGGGACCCCACTACCACTCTTTGCACTGTGCATGCTATTTCAAAGCAAAATTACAGGCAGGGTTTTTTTGCCGGGGCCTCCCAAATTTCCGTTGAAATTCTCCCGAGCCGCTTTTTGGAAACTGAGGAAACTCCCCCAAAACGGTCTTTTCACCCGCTTTTAAGCTCAGATTCTGGTTCTACGAGTCGAAAAGGCTTTAAACTTGCAGAAAGGTGGAAACGCAAAATCTGACGGGAACTGCCTATAATGCTTTCCACACAAGCATTCCGCGCGCGACACACCCTGCGCGGCTTTTGCCTAAGCAAAAAGGGGGAGGAAAGATTTGCGGTGTGGTAGCGTGTTGGACAAGTGAAAATGAGGGCGACGGTGAAAACCTCCGTGTGACCGTTTCTCCACGCGCCACATTTTGCGGCGCTTGTGATCTAAGCAAATAAAGAGGAAGAACAATCTGGCCTTGAAAGCAGATTGACCTTTCATATTTTTGAAAGAAAAAATACAGACATCATTCTACAAACAGGACGACGGCCGTAGGAGCTGCTTGCATGCTTTTGTACGTAACTGTATAAAAATTTCAATTATATGAAAAGATGCTTCTTGCCGCGCGCCACGATGTAGGGCGTTTCGCACAACCATAATGCTTTCCACACAAACATTCCGCGCGCGACACACCCTGCACGGCTTTTGCCTAAGCAAAAGGGGAAAGGAAAGATTTGCGGCGTGGTAGCGTGTTGGACAAGTGAAAATCGGAGCGATGCTGAAAACGCCCGTGCGGAAGGACCGTTTCTCCACGCGCCACATTTTGCGGCGCTTGTGGCCTAAGCGAAGGACTGGATGTTAGATTTTGTAGTCCTAGTGGGAGTATCTAGTGTTCTTGCTGCGGTCTTCCCCCTAACCAATTTTAAATATGTTATTCCCTATTGCATATCAAAACGTCCATAACTTCCTTCCCAAAACAGTTGTGCAGATATAATAGGCAGGTTCGAAATCAGTTCAACTTCTTCGTAGAGATATGTTTGTGGTGATCTGCCACTTCGACTCCTCGAGCCTTTCTTGTGAGACCATTTCGCCAGTCGTCCCCAGTCCTATTTCCATTCTTCTATTAAGCAAAAAGCTAACGAAGGATAATTTGGCTTGACATTACCTCATCAACACCACCTTAAAGCTCGCGACTTCATTACAGAAAAACTATACTTTTCTTGAATGCAGACAACAAAAGAGACCAGAAGTTTCTGATTGTATAGTTTTATTAGTTGTGACAAAAATAAGGAGTAGAACGTATTGACAGCTACTTATAGCCATAAAGCATCATACTCATACTGCCGTAAGTATTACAAGCATTGAAGTAGACACTGACTAACTGCACATGATTAACACGAGATTGATGTCCATGTTACAATAGAAAGTCGAAACAGTCGAGGACTCCCTCATCAACACCAAGAACACTTCTCCATTGTGTTAGAATGAATTCCGCTGCGGCACATTCGTCACGAAAAATCCCTTCTTTCTCTGATTCTGCCTTCACCATTTCCAAGACATCGTATCATAAGATAAGCCAGCTATAAGCTCTGCTTTGGGCGATCAAATAGCAAGCACAATTGTTCGTAGGAAACCAATGAGCGCGGTCTGAAATTATGGCAGTTTGAAAGAATTTGACAAAAAGATTGAACAAATGTTCACAATAGATTCTCAGCTTTTTCATGCCACAAAACGAGACAGGAGGTTGAGCAGAGTCCTTTAGCTGCCAATTCAGCAAAACCACTTTCTCTTTTGCAGATGCAATGTATATTGCGAAGGGAGATAGATAAATCTTCAGCCTTTAACTTGATAATCTTGGACTAGAAAACTTCCCGTAAACTTCAAAAAGATTTTTCGAAGCAGCGTGCTGCACCATGTGCAGCACCGTTCCGAAACGTGTTTATAATGTATTGTAATTAAAATAATTTTATAATATTTTCATGCGCATAATATTTTCAAGCACAAATTCCGGTTGACTAGGTTCTGACATATCAACTAATTTCGTGCATATGTTCTCCTTTACGTACCATTGCGATGTGCCCCCTGTAAAGCTGGTTCAAAGCAACAACCAGTGTTTATCATCAGGGTTGAGCGTGGGGTCAGGCGCGCCCGCCTGCGGGGTCGTATTGGTGGTAAGACCGAGGGAGGGGGGCGTTATCAAGAATCGAATTCACTCAAAACAGGGATATATTACGACCGAGTAATGTGAAGAAGAAAAAAGAAGACCGATGCATATCATACACCAAAGCATTCAAGGAATGACTGCCGTGAGCAGCATACTAATTGATTCCATCGAAGTTCATTTTAATTCTCCATCTCTTACCCAACACTACTAAGGTCACGAAAGAAGCTTGCTGTGTAAAGTGAGTATAATTTTCGTAATCAGAACATAAAATCATCTCTACCAGCTCTACAAACCATTACCTATCACATTTCCTAGCATTTCCTATCGCTAAGAAGTGTGAAATTCGGACATGATAAACTTGGTTTCGAAAGTGAAAGAAGACAGCTTTTTTACACTCATAACAAAGTAATGTTCCCTGTCAGTCTATGCTAGAAATTAGAAACTGCCAAAATTCCAACCATCGCGTTTTTCACCTTGAGCGCTTCAACTCCACGGACTGAGCCGAAACAAGTCGAGGTATTTTGTAGCAATTCACTTATTGTGCCTGTGCGAATTCGCGCATGATAAAGTCACATTCCAATATGATATCTGTTCGAAACACAATAGTAGATATTGGAGAGTGAGATCTTTTTTGGCAAAGGGAAAAAAGTACTAGCCGCAAGCCAGTATAATCCTTCTAAGCAAAATTTTGCCTTTTTCACATCCTCTTCCCTATTTCCTGTTAACATCGCAGAGTAAATCAAAGATTCGCACACTCAAAAGAATGCAGTCAACTCCACTAAAACAAAAGTCAAAAATTGAAACACTTTGGAATGCCATAAAAAAGGAATTAGGCAGAACTTGCTATCCCATTCACTTGCCTTTTGTACTGATAAGAACCATAATGATGAAGCAAAATCATCAAAAAAAGTACAAAAAAATGTTCTTCACAAACTTACTTTGAACTCAAGCGCTGAACAATCCACATATAAAATCCGCGCACCAGATGATTCCATGATGGATTATTGATAGAGAATGTCTTCACTGATTCAGCGCATCGTTGCACTATAATGAAAAAGGCATTTGTGACCTCATTACTTTCCAAGAATTTGGATGCAAATGGTAAAACAAGCTGGATAACGATGGAACCAGACGATGTGTAACATCTCCTTCCAAGGAAAGTACAGTCGAATCATTTCATATTATCATGTGTGTCATTGCACACACTGTCCAGCTTTGGCGTTCCCATCCTGATTTCTTGGAGCAGACAACTCTTCCGGTGAGCGTCTCCGATGTGTTCTTAATGTTTTCTCTCCTTTTTAGTTACTATTCACTTCAAAATGAAGTAAGCGATTGCAATTGGTTAGTCTCTTACGGTTTTACGATTGCGAATCCAGGATGAAGATGCCAAAGATGGACGGTGTGTGCGATGCACACATAATCATATGAAATGATTCGACTGTAAGTAGCTCTTGGCTCCGACCAATGAATGAAGAGATATTGAAGAAAATGCACTAAACTATGGGAACAAGTTTTGAAGTGACAAACCGAAAGAAGAAAAAACTCATCAGAATATACAAACTACTTCAACTTTTACAAAAAAGCTTACTTGTAGTGATTCTTGACAGCTTCCGAGTGATTAACCTTTGGCCGTGGTGCGGTATTTGCCAATTCTGCCAATTCCAATTTGCCAATGTGAACACATCATCGCAAGAAAAACTGGAAAATACTAAATCATTAAAATGCATTACCTCCAAATTTTTACAAGAACAAGAAACACACCAATAATAATTTTTGAGATCAATAACCGCTGCATTAAAAGCTTTATGAAGATCCTCTTCATGCCACATACGTATGGATACTCTGACAATCTTACCAACTAATTAAAGAATATCTGCAAATTTTTCACTCTCAAAGATAGCGTGCGGATGGAATCCGCTTGACTGAAATTTTGGTCCGAAAGTCCCCCCAAACTGGAGTCCAAGTCCCAATTATGGTCCAAAAGTGGCTCTTCTCACATTTGGACAAGTTTAATGCCTAGAAAGGTTGGGTTCCTTCATACTACGCCGCGCACGCCGCGTACGCCACCTACGCCACCTACGCCGCGCGCGCAGCGTACAGCCTGCAGCTGTAGGCTGAGAAACTAAGTTGCAAGAGAAAAGTACTTCGCAAAGCAATTATTATTCTTGAAATTCGCTTCGAAAAACAACACCAATTACATAAGAACTCATCATATCTAGCAATTTAGGAGTTTCATAGAGGATAGAGGTTCTGAAATTTGAAGGAAACATGATATTTTCATTTTGTTAGTACATCTGAAAAAAAAAGGCTAAAACAAAGCCTTTCAAAAAGATTTAGGCTCTGTTTGTTTGGAGCATCTTATTTTTCGGCCGATGGACGTTGGCTAAATACTGTACGTACGGTATATGCCCAACTTCCATCGGCTGCGAGATAACGTGCTACAAACAAATAGAGCCCTAATCTTGTTTAGAGTCCTTATTTTCAACGTTTTTTTTTTCAGACACACTACCATAAAGAAACTAACAGTGTAGACTTTGGTAGCTCATTACTAACACTTGCGCTAGCTTCACAGTCTAGATTCAAGAATACTGCAGCACGGAAGTTGACATTGTGACTAATTTGGATACGTTTTGATGAATGCCTGTGATCATGTTCTTAGTAAACCATACTGTGAAAAATGTTTTGATCACTACAAAAATGGCGAGGACATCTATGCGATGGAGAACAGAAAATCTTTGAGGATAACAAAAAGAGAAAGAAGCACATGCTTACTAAACTGTAAGGCATGCGTCAGCTGTTGGATCAAATTCATCCCAAATCGAAACAAATAATGCAATTCTGAGGCAAAAACGCTTCTCCTCGAAATTCCACAAGCGGTGGCGAAACACCCTCGCTGAAGATATTGAGAACGACAAAAAAATCAACAGTAGTGAACGAAGTCGTTTGTTTTGGAATCAACATGCCGATTTTTTTGGACAAATCAGTGACTTCGGCTTTGCTTATGCTTTATCTGAGAAGAAGAAGATAATAGAAAAGAGGGAATTGAATGAAAAGATACGTCTATGTGACTAACTTACGTAACTATCTAAGCAAGAAGTTAGTTCGCAATTAGTTCATCTTAAATCCGCATAAAAAATAGTGACACGAGAATCAACTAAACAAAGCAATTTTGAAGTTTATAGACGGAAGAGAGATGCTGCAGCTGGAAAAAAATTGAGATTTCACTCATGATAGTGTGTCTAAAGGAAATACATCGAAAATAAGGTAGCTTGTATATATTAGGTTGATGCAAAAGTTCTTTCCGCTCGTTTTCAAAAATTCATAACTTCCGATTTTCTCAACCAATTTGGCTGCTTTTATTTTTATATGAAAGAGTAACTCATGCTCTTCATAATGACATCTTAGCTGCTTGCTAATAATCATCTGTTTCATAGATACGAGCGATAGAAGAAAATTAGTCAAAATTCGAATTTTCTGTGTAGGGTCATAAAAAATCGGAAACATGCAACAAAAATCGGTGCAGTCTGTATTGTAGGTTTTTTCACCAGCTCTTTCTAACAGTGCAAAGTATGCGCCGATTGAGCGTCTCTACAAAAAGTTATGATTTTCCTGAAAAATGCCAAAATAAATCAAAATCGCCCTTTTGTATTGCTTGCTCGAAAATCATAACTTTTGATAGAGACGCTCATTCGACGCAAACTTTGCACCATTAGAAAGAGCTGGTAAAAGAACCTACGATACTGACTGCTCCGATTTTTCTAGCAAGTTTCCGATTTTTTATGACCCTACACAGAAAATTCAAATTTTGGCCAATTTTCTTCTATCGCTCCTATCTATGCAACAAATGACCATTAGCAAGCAGCTGAGATGTCATTATGAAGAGCATGAGTTACTCTCTCACACAAAAATAAATGCAGCCAATTTGGTTGAAAAAATCGGAAGTTATGAATTTTTGAAAATGGGCGGAAAGAACTTTTGCATCAACCTAATATATATATATATATATATATATATATATATATATATATATAAGAGAAAGCCGACGAATAAGAGAAAGCCGACGAAAGCGATAAAACGAGTTGCAAATTTCAAACTGACGTAACTGACCAACCCAAAAATTTAGGCCAATTTCATTTTGGATTACGGTATTCGGGTCACGCAGCGAAAAACACGGGCGCCCCAAAAGATTCACTTTTCGCTTACCATTCTTTTAATATAGAGGATCACAAAACTCAAGCACTCGTCGGTGGCAACAGCAGCGCAGCAGCATTTCGAGTATTCTGCCTTAAGTGCGACGCATACTTAAATGTGTGGACGGGAGGGGGCTGTGAATGGGCAAGAGGTTGTCAAATGTTTCTAGCGTATTCTCGGCTAAGAGCTGCGAAGTTGACAGAAGAAGTTTGCAAATCATAGATTATGGCTAACGCAAGAAAAAAGCAAAAAAATTAACGCGAGAGGGGCTCTACACAAAAAAAAAGTAAAATGAGTCTACGGCGTCACTTCGCGTTGGCGCCAACACGGTCACTCGCTATGCGCCAGTTCGGGTTCCTGGCGCACACGGACACCGCACATCGTGTAATTACACGATCTTGCGCACACATTGATACATCGCATGCGCCTCGGCAGATCGTGTGCTGGTTCAAGATCGTGTAATTGCCAGATCTTGAACCAGCACACGATCCTGAGATTGATACATAGCGCCCCAGATGAGTAATTCATTGCCAGTCCTGCCAGAGTTCTGAACTTGATTGCCATCTTTCTATATAAAGCTGAATGTCTGTTTGTATGTATGTCTGTCTCTCTGTCTGTCTGTCTGTCTGTATGTCTGTCTGTGTGTACGTATGTTCCGAATAGAAAATTCCATTTCTGAACCGATCCGGACCAAACTTGGCACACATACACTTTGGGCCCCGGTGAGTGTCATAGGCTACTTTTCGTCATCGATCGATATCGATTTTATCGATTTTTTGCAAAATTTGAGCTACGGGGCTGGGAGTTGGCACAGGGGGGTAATCGAGCATGCTGATTACGAATATAATAATGACAGGGCCGGGCGGAGCCGGGTAAATCAACTAGTAGTTTCATATAATCGCCATGGGGCTTACATTCACTAGGGGGTAGAATTTGTTTTTCTCACCTCTCATATATCTACCACTGAAAAAAGGATTTATGTGGAATGAGAATCACTCTTCGAGATAACACGTTAGGACTTCTTCACTAATTTCAGCCAAAATCTGAGATTATGAGGAGTTCTCAGACCGGTATACTAATATCTTATATATAAAGCTGAATGTTTGTTTGTTGTATGTATGTCTGTCTGTCTGTATGTCTGTCTGTCTGTCTGTGTGTACGTATGTTCCAAATAGAAAATTCCATTTCTGAACCGATCCGGACCAAACTTGGCACACATACACTTCGGGCCCCGGCGGGTGTCATAGGCTACTTTTCGTCATCGATCGATATCGATTTTATCGATTTTTATCGATTTTTTTGCTGAGTTCACCTACGGGGCTGGGAGTTGGCACAGGGGGGTAATCGAGCATGGGAATTCCGAAGACAATATTGGTTTTCAGGATTATCGATTACTTTTATCGATTTTATCGATTTTTTTGCAAAGTTTGAGCTACGAGGCTGGAAGTTCGCAAAGGGGGGTAATCGAGCATGGGGATTCCGAATACAATATTGGTTTTCGGGATTATCGATTACTTTTATCGATTTTATCGATTTTTTTGCAAAGTTTGAGCTAGGGGGCTGGGAGTTGGCACAGGGGGGTAATCGAGCATGCTGATCATCCCCAAGGGGAGTGTGATCAGCATGCTCGATTACACCCCTGTGCCAAATTCCAGCCCCTAGCTCAAATTTTCCAAAAATCGATAAAATCGATAAAAGTAATGGACGATCTTGAAAACTAATATTGTATTCGTAATCTGCATGCTTGATTACCCCCTGTGCAAACTCCCAGCCCCGCAGGTCAAACTTTACAAAAAAATCGATAAAATCGATAAAAGTAATGGACGATCCTGAAAACTAATATTGTGTTCGTAATTAGCATGCTCGATTACCCCCCCCCCCCTGTGCAAAATCCCAGCCTCGCATGTCAAAATTTACAAAAAATCGATAAAATCAATAAAAGTAATCGATAATTCTGAAAACTAATATTGTATTCGGAATCCCCATGCTCACTTCCCCCCCTTTGCCAACTCCTAGCCCTGTAGGTGAACTCTGCAAAAAAATCGATAAAAATCGGTAAAATCGACATCGATCGATAACGAAAAGTGGATTGTGACACCCGCCGGGGCCCGAAGTGTATGTGTGCCAAGTTTAGTCCGGATACGGCGGAGCCGGGTAAGCCAGCTAGTATCTAGACATAGATCATATCCCAGGAAGTAAGATACCTCTCCTGGCTGAGACCATGCTCTCTCAACAAATATGAATGCATTGTGCTCTTCGGACCATACGGAATCATTAAGACATAATGGGAGACGGTCAAGAGGCGCGATTTCTTTGGCTGTCACCAACTTAAAACTCTAGTTTAGTGCTATGCGAGTCTTTAGAAATTACCAGATAAACTGCATTAGCTTACTATCTGTCTGAAGTCACTACTTGCTAAGTTTCATGGTTTTTGCTCTGAATCGGACTGAAATATTTACGAATTTGTTCTGAAATGCATTTTCATGAGTTTTTGACCTTCAAAATTGCTGTTTTGAATTCTTCTGGAGTATCAAGACTGAAGAGCTCATGCAACTACTTAATATATCATCTTCTAAATTTCATATACTTTTAGAAAGTGCAAAACACTTATTATGTGTTATTTGTTGTTCAGCTGGCA